TATACTTCAGGTTAAAATGCATACACAACCTCTAAAATGTTTGTTATAATTGATTATTAAGAAATTATTTTCAATGCAAATCCTTTTGTATTTTTATCAAAATTGTTATCGGAGCGATTTTGCAAAATCTTGCCACGTTGCGAGTATATTGGTGGTATTTAACTAGGCATATTATATGAAACATAACCTGATATGAAAATCTTCAGTGATTTTTATTTTTAGCACCACTGACAATTCGCAAAAATTTGAAGCGTAAAAATTAATCAACAGCTTTTTGACCCAAATTCGCAAAAATAAATCTACGTAAAAATTTCCAGATTTACGGTATACATATTTTCCCCTTTTAAGCCCCAGTATTACTAAATCTTTAAAGTAATTTCGGTAATCCTTCTATACTTCTTATACGTTCTTGTACTTCTCGAGAGATTTTAGTAAATTTTGCAATAGAATAGTCATGGCAGACTTCACCAAAGTTTACATAATATTTAAATATGTATGGTCTCACTTTTGAAAGGTCCCCATCCTTTGCGGTAGATGTTCCTGTACTTGACACGGTCACATCTAGATGTTTAGAGGATAGATTTTGAATACCAGTCCGGAGACAAATTGTAACGGAATTCAGGACAATCGTCATCTCCAAGTTGAAGATTGATACAACTCAATCCAGTTTATGTTGTATATTTTGGTTAATTAGATGTAAGTAAATGTTTTATAATTTAAAGCAAGTTTGTTGTAAATTTAATAACCATTTTAAAGGGCATCTTGGATCAACATCCTACGCATGGTCATTAATATGACATGTACGCACATTCTTAAATTTATTTATCACATTTAAGATAGTTAATATCCCCAGTTGTCATTTTAATTTTTTACAGAAAGTATGTCATTTTGTTATCATGATTTAAGGAAGTCTTTAACCAATTAAAATAACAAATGTTGCACCCTAAAACTACATTCTCAGTATGATTTTTTTCTCAAAAATTGGCATGATTAGAACATTTGAAGTTGCGTGCAAAAATATATAGAATTCAGAACTGTACAAAAAAGCATTGTTACACATTGTGTCAAAATCAAGCACCATACGAGATTCGTGTTAGCGTATTAAAAATTGCAAGTTTGAATAAGGATGGGCTTACTGTTCCAAACTTTAAAAATCAGATTTAGTCACTAAGACTTTATTAGATATATAAGAATGTATTGTTTTGATAGCTACAAACCAAAATGATTCATGATTTTTCAAGCTTACAAAAAAGATTTACAAGGGTCACCTCAATAAAGATGCTATTTAGATTTTCACACATGTATATTACACAACATTTTAGAAATTCTAAATTGTTGGAAGGAATTTAGAACCTATGACAATGTTTGTGTTGAACATACTAGTAGAGTATTAAAGGATATTTTATGGTTTAAGGACAGCTGATACAAACATTTTGTTCTTTGGAGTAGACTTAATATCATCTAACAGGATTAGAAAAGTTGATAATTCTTTGATTTATTTTACTCTGTTACTTTGTTATGCTGATTAGATAAGCACAAGGCGGGTATGACCGGTCGGGAGGGGATGCTCACTCCTTCATAGCACCTGATCCCACCTTTGATGTTTCGTCCTGCTCCTATTTTCGATTGTTTTATGGATTTTTGATCTTGAATATTATTCGTTTTCTCAATGTGTTTTATGATTTTAAGCTATCCTTAATTTTATGAATTGTCACTTTTAATGTACAAATAAAAGATTTCAAATATCTGAATTCTAATTCCTTAGGAGACTTGTTTAACTGTGAAGAAAGACACATCTAATAAGAAAGTGATAATCAGTAAAAAAAAACTTAACAGTGTAGAACTTAAATGCCTTAATGTCTTAATGTCCACAGAGTCCCAAGTAGGGGTGGGACGATATACCGATACACCGATACATATCGATATTTTCCTCTAAGATACGGTTTACGATACAAGCATTCAAATATTGGTACGAAACGATACACGAACGACCTGTCCGAAAATTGAAAATGATAGTACCTGTCCTTGAAAATGGCGGCCTGTACGAAGCAAAGAGATAGCATTGATATTGAAAACACACTTTAGAACTGATAACTCGTTGATTAGGGGTAATATGTTTTCACTGTTAAGCAGTGTGCAAAGCGTGCTATACACAGAAAAGTATCGTTTCAAGAACATTTGATATTATTAATTGTTAGTCTATTCATACTTTTTTGTAATCTCAACTTGGCTACAGACTTTCAGCAATTTTGAATGATAATGTAAATGTGATTTTTTTTATATGAATTTATATGAATTTTTAGTCAGTGTTCGTTGATATACTATACAACTATTTGTAAACAACTTGTTAATAGACATTTGGTAATATGTACAATTGTCCTGTACATTGTTTTTGTAAAGTTTTAGTCAATGAAGTTGATGAACTTCAAGTATTAATTTCATAGCACACATGATTTGATATAGAATAATTTTTTGAGTTACTGTCAAGACAAAAAAAAAATAAAAAAAATACTAATTCTTTTGAATAGTTTTCTAATTTATCATGTTGTGTTAATGTCATTAAAAAAAAAAAATGAAATAAAATACTATTTTTAATAGTTTTATGATTTATCATCATATCGAAATACATATCGTATCGTGCCAATATATCGAGATACGTATCGTATCGCAAGATCTGTGTATCGTCCCACTCCTAGTCCCAAGGCATCATTTTTATGCATCATGTCCTTTAAAATGCGATTAAAATGCCCTTTTCAAAACAGTTTTTTCCTTGTAGTAACCCATCTGCAATTTATTTCTTTTTCGTTGATTTTTGGCAGGCATATTTGTGCCTCATTTAACATGTAATTTTTTTTTCTGACGTAGCAGAAAATATTTTCTTCGACCTGTCAAAAGAAACAATCTTTAGATTAAAAAAAATGTTCTTTTTAATCTTCTTACAAAAAAAGTCCCGTATCAATCTTTTTTCTTTGCGACTTATTATTGAATTCGATATTGTACTTGGTTGTTGCATTGTTTAATTTCAATTTATTATAAAAACCGTATATTTGTAATAACACTTCTCATGTAGAGGTAAATGTCTAAAATAAAGCACAATCAATTTTGATGCAAAAAAGCGTATATTGTCGAATTTTTAGGATCTTTGTAGCCGTACATATATATTTTTTTAATTTTATCCATGTCAAGTGACAAACAGCTGATGTATGTGAAATTCTGAATTTGAATATCTGAATTTGCCCAATTCAGCAAAGACAATTATTACATAAACAAGTAGTAAAATCTCAATTCATCAAAAGCTTAACATACGAAAAACAACAATAATGTAATATTATTGATGATAATATTATGTTTTATGCATGCATATGTAATTTTGCGAAGGTACAAATAACCAATTTTTAGCAGTTAAGTCTCAGTCAAGGTCACTAGGTCTATCGATCAGGGCTTTAAACCATTAAATCTGAAAAAAAAACTTCTCCTACCTCAATGCCACATACCAAAACTTAAATATACCGGGTACACATGTATTAAGTAAAGATAAGCCCGGTCTGGGCTGCAAAATCGGTCGTGAAAACACCAAAAATATAATATGTATATCATTAATATACGATTAAATTGATTATCCATGAACTTCAAATAAAATAGCTAGGCCCTTACCAGTTTTCTTCGTACTTAGTAATCGCATGATATACATATATTGAGAGAAAGCGCCATATACACAAGCCACGCCATTAATTATTCAAACAGTTTTATACCTCTTCGTCTTCAATGACGTTCAAGACGTACTCTTGTTCTTATAAATATCGCACATTAACAAAAATTGTTTCATAATCCACCCTCTAGATATATCAATTTGAGGAGGAAGTAAAATCAATATTTTACAAATATCAATATAAAATCACTTATTTTTTCAAAATTCAATCTGCAAAAAATTCTTCTTTCTCTAGATAACTTCATTTCAATGGGTAGGAAATTTATGATAATAAAGACAGGAAAGATCGTTTTGTTGGGCATATTCATTTTGTCAAGGTCCTTTCAACTTCCTGATACAGAAGCAAAGGTAACTGATAGTTTGTTATTGGCTTTAACTATAATATATAAATTCCTTATATTGCGTGTCAGTATTTCTCTGAAAGTGAGGGAAGTAAGAATACTAATTGTCCTATCCGTGGAATAAATCCTCATTTTTATTTTTTCTTTATTCAGCAAAAACAGAGTTATTGGATTTATCTATTCCTTATATTGTTTATCGATGTTATCACTTTTTAACTAATACACAATCTCTGAAATACAGGGAAAAGATCATGAGAAGGCTAATAAATGTCTTATCAGTGGAATATTTCCTCTTTTGTTACATGTATATACTGTACCTCTATTCATGTTGATTTACTTTTTTTCCTTATTTATTTTCCTTATTTAACATCAATAGTCTTTCAAGGGTGAAATTTATTTTTACAAAATGTAAAAACAAAGTTGCAAAGATATAAACAGGAATTTCTATCTAAAGAATAGTTCTCGCATTGTTATGAAGACAAAAAATAAATGTACCTTATCCAACGAGGAGTAGTGTCTTAAATAAAATGAATATATGCCAGGTTTGAAAAAATGTATGTCCATAAGAATTTTATAATTTACTTTGTTTCTTTTCGCTTAAAGATAATATTACATTAACAAAAGGTTGTTAGGTACTTAATATATCAAATGGCATTAATTTTTTTTTTATTTTGAAAGTAGATAAACTAATTATTAAAGATTTATGTGGATTTTTAAAATTGATTTTAGCCCATGATGACATAGAGACGTACATTGTACTTTAAGCGATGACTTCTAAAAATAAAAATGTTTTAAAGTAAAAGTGCAAAATAAACATCGTAAAAGGGTTTTTGAATCTCTCTCTCTCTCTCTCTCTCCAAAAAAATTGTATATCAATTAAGATCATTAGTCTTCATTTTTCCCTGAAATATCAATGATGAAATATGAAGACCGGGTTACGAACTTAGTCAAATCCGGTATAATGAAAATCTTCAGGTATCGAATGTGAGGTTTTGGTACGAAAAATCGCGTGAAACAGAATTCACTTCTTGATATTCGTGTGATTCAGAAGTCTTTTCTTTCATTTCTGCTTCAGTTGTTATGTAATGAGATGAGGACTGTCTTTTCACTTTCACTTGCCTTCTTCTAAATACAAAACAAATTTCAAAAATAGAAAAAATCTACATACAAGAGGTTATCAAAAGGTTCGGGGACCTCGGCTATAAAATTAGTACTACATAGTCTAGAACTGTGCTTTCAAAATTTATGAGGAACATAAACCAACAAAAAATAAAGAAATGTTGAAAATTTTAGCTTGATACGTTGAATATTTGCCATTTAAAATTAAATTAAATTGAAATAGTCTGGACGCATTTTATTTCTCCGCAGCAGGGATGGTGTCAATTACTTTAAAATATGATCAATTAAATAACAATTACATTGACTTTTTTATTAATATTACAATGTAATCACAGCCTTTCTAAGAGTGTAATTAATCAAATTACAATTACTTAGCAAATGTAATTAATCAAATTACAAATTAAATTTTTTGAAAATGTTATAATCATTGTCAATGGATATGCAGTACATCAATCATTTGTTAATAAGTGCAGCCTCCACACAAAAAAGAAATAATATGCTAAGGCATTGTATATCTTTGTGGTTTAATTCATTAATTTTATTTTTAAGACATTAAAGAAATAATCCGAGATCAGTTTGAGTGCAGCTTCCTCCACACAAATCCTACGTATACATGTACACAAATTGTATGGTATGGCTTTCTTTAATAGAGTAAAATGAGATACAACTGCAACTCATCAAATCAATTAAAATTACTTTGAAGGTAACCTGAATATCGTAAAATGATATTTATGTGGAACATTTTACTTCATAAATAATACTTCTACAGAACATAAGTTTTTGAGTTTTTTAATTGCAAAATTCATTCATAAAAATTTCTTTAGCTGTTTAAATAATTATCAAATAGAAACTTTTTTCTTTTTTAATGCTAGTAGATCAGTTTAATTTTATTTTATTGACATAATTATCTCTTTTCGCTTTCTCTTCTAAATCATGGAATGAATTCCTCCATAGAGGAGGTTTGTTTTGATTGCAAATTATATCTTTGATTTCAAGGGCAATTATCTCTTCTCAACACAGAACTTAATTAATGACACACGCACATTCTTTTTCTTTCTTATTGATCAAACACGAAACACCAAAGATTTGAAATAGAATTCATGTGTGTTTCATAGCTGAATAGACCTAAGAAAGCTGGTAAAAAACTAAATACATGAATTTTAATTAAAAAGAGGATTGAGGATATATTTTAAAATAAATTAAAATAAAGTAAAGCGGGAGGTATTGGTGAACAATATATCTTTGTATTTTGTAACTTACTAAAGTATTATGTATAATAATGGTATGTAATTGAAATTACATATTTTTTCAGTGTAATTTTTTAAATTACAATTACAAGTAATTAAAAATATGTTTTATTACAAATTACTTTTAATTACTTAAAAAATGTAATTAATTACATTCAAATACAATTCCTTTTTTAATTACTTTATCCCTGCTCCGTAGCCAGCTTAATTAAACATTTCCTAGGCCTATACCTTTTTCAGTGGCTAAACTTTATTGAATGTTGGAAATGGAAAACGCTTTCTCCTTTTTGACATTATTTCAAGGCCTTATTTGTTTCAACACTCCATGCAAAATTTACAATAAAATTTCATAGAACTTCCAGAATGAGAAAAAAAATCAATATTTCATGGAACAATAGTGTCCAAACATACGTATGTTTGAAATAACGGGAGTTTTGGATGTCAAATGTTCATATCAAAAGAGTTTTTCTCAGTTAAACTTAGGTCGAGGTTGCGCTGCCTGGACACCCCACTGCTTACAAAAACATTATTAATTTATTTTGAAAATACAATTAATGATTTGTCGTTTATTCTATTGATTGAAGATATACCTTAAGAGGTTTTGATTTAATGGCGCTGGTCCATGAACTCTTCGATACCCCCTCGTATATATTTTATATAACTACACAATGGAATTAAAAAAATACCTTTCACAAATCCATAACGTACAGGTCAAAAAGTTAAGTATGACTGATATAGACATTCCAATAGCATAAAACCAGTGATCATCACATTTTCTAGCAGTGGTCAATGGCGAAACTTTATAAAAAGATGGGAAATGCCATGTAAATTGAATACAGGTATTTTTAAACCAAATTATATGAAGAAACAAAACAGAAAAGAATAGTATTTTATCATTCATCTATTGAAAGGATACTGTTAATGAACGAATACAATAGATATATGGTTCTACCGACTTGATTTTTACATATCTGATTACTTTTACATATTACCTTGTTTGCATTTCGGAGAATCCATCATTCCAGCTTTGCAGCTACACATCCCATCAATATGATTGCATATATCAGAACAGTTCTCAGAGCAAACGTTTGAACAATTCACTCCAAAATAACCATTTCCACAAACTGAAAAAAGAAATTCATAAGAGTAAAATAAATATTGAGAAAAATTAGAAAACTGAAATTTTCAATTATTTCAATTTAATACTTCATTTCAAATTTAGGGAATTATTAAATAAGATATGTTTACCATATAAAGGTAAAGATGGATTTGTGAAGAAAAGATTAATCATAAGGTTTGTTTTGATAGGGAAATGATTTATGTAATTTTGCCTTTATAAAATGTTTACAAAGTGGTTTGTATTGTGTAGTGAACTATTGAACTGAAATTGTATTCGTTATCTCCACATATTTTATTGTATAAACAATCCAAAAAACCTCAAATGCATATATACATATAGTGAAATATACGTGAATAATTATCATGTCTTACTTAAATTGCATTTCTCTCCTTTATATCCATCTGAACAACCATTTTCACAGACTCCAGTCACATGGTCACACGATTCCTTGTTAATGCAGTTTTGGCTACAAGAAAACTTGCAGTCTTTTCCATATTTTTCCGCGGCACACACTGTCGAGCATATGAGAAAATAAAAAAGGGTTGATAATTAATTAAAGATGATGCATAGATAAATAGAATGTCATTATTAACTAAACATTAAAGATTCATCAATCTTATTCTTAGAAAGAAGGGAGAAATCAAGTTCATTTATTTCCTTACTCTTAACCATGCTCTACGTGAAAATAGTTTCTTTAAAAATCACATAATGTACATCCTTTACCAAGAGAGCATGTTGAACCACTCCATCCTGGTTCACATCCATACTGACAGCTGCCAGTAACATGATTACAAGTTTGATTTACACAGTTTCACATCTCATGGAGCAATTGTGACCATACCACCCATTGCTGCACTCTATTTTCAAAATCAATGTAGTTAATTACAATGTAAACATATTGCTTAACATTAATAATCGAAATTTCAAAGATATGAATATTCATCTAGGAAAAATTAAAATCATACTTTTTTCACACGTTGAGCCTTTGTAACCACTGATGCATCCATAGCTGCATAGTCCATTGATATTTTGGCAATTATTTTCAATACAGAAAGGACTGCATTTCTTTGAACAAAGTGATCCAAAATAACCATGACTGCAAGCTAACAATACATAACATAAGAGTTAACAGCATTTTCAGCGACATTTTCAGACAGGTTTCTTTAGATATTCGAAAAGCTTGTATGATACAATTTTCATTTTGGTAAAATTCACATGGGTAAGCCTTAATGTGAAAAAGACATCTAACAATTTATCCACGGGGCAGTAAATTTTGAGAGTGTGTCCTTTCTACAAGTCTCTCTGACAAATATAAAATATAGCATTGTAAACAGGTATTAGAAATTCAATAAATCAAAAGACTTTGTTAAATCACAATAATTTTAAAATTTTAATTTAATTTTTATTGTATAAATATTCAACAAAATAGCATTTAAGAAACAGCCGCGCGTGTGTTGCTTAGCAATTATAATTATTTGATTTCAAAGTTAGAAAGTAAAACAATTATCTACAAATATTTTTCATCAAATATTCTGACTAAATATTACTGTAATTTTAAACACAATGTGTGTACGAACTTTCTTTTCGCACGTGTGAGATAAAACGAAAAAAAAAAATTGTGTACGAAATGACTTCTGTAGTTTGCATACGAAAATACTAGTCGGTTGGTGTACGAGTTAATTGTAGTTCGGCGTATTTCAATAAATATTCATTAAAGCTGACATAAACTCTTAAAAAGGCATCATTTTTCATCTTCGTACGACTTACTACATTCCTGTAGGCCTTTGTCCGCCATATTTCTTCGATTCCGCCATTTTTGTTCACCTGTACCTGCTATATATAGCCTTGTACAATTGTTTCACTTGAATGATTTTCTAGCCTGGCTGTCGACCTCTCCGATAGCATAGTTTTTAGAAGTCCATAAACTGACGAAATACATGTTTGAAAAGTAAAAATTCAACAAAAACTAGAACTATACCGAGAATTAAAATATTTTTTGAATGCATTTGCTGCAATATAAAAATACACTAACACGTAAACACATTCATGTACAGCAAAAATCCATGCAGGTCAAGAAAACACGTCAAACGCAGTGATAAAAACATTTACCTGAAAACTGCTATCGTTACAGGGATGTGCACATATCGAAAGATTTATCCTATTTTACTTTTATTGAAAAATGCATCTCCGAATTCATGTAATCCATTGCCCACTCAACAGTAAAAGATGCTTGGACACACGTGGCCCATGCCGATCATTTTATTTGGTCGGGGAAAATATCAAAGGTTGATAGCTCAGTTTGGTTGATTAAAAATGCAAATATTTTTTTTCAAAAATAAACATTACTCTTGTCTGTAAATGTTGTGAATAAAATTTATGATTACTGTGTTTAACTTCATCAAATTTATAATAAAGCATGCATTATTACGAATCATTCACCTTTTGAAGATATTTAACAGTGAAAGGAGGGGGGGGGGTATAATAAAACATGTATAACACTCTCAGAAAAATAATTTAAGAAAAAAGTCTGTAACAGATCGGATTTCTTTATGATCAATTATTATCAAATAAATACTGTGTATTTGCTTTATTAGACCTAATATAATTTGATTTAAAGTTATTTATAATTTTATGCCCAATGAAAGAAAAAGTGAGCAAGTTCACACACCCAACTCTCCCCCAAAAGTCAAAGTGCTGAAATTCCCAGGAAAAAAAATAAAGGAATCGTAATTTCCTTGTAATATGCACATCTATACACACTGTGTCCTAAATATCTGCAAAGTTTGACGAAATTGTGTGCAACGGTTTATGAGGAGTTGCGCAGACAAACTGCTCATCTCTAGTATATTCAAGATATGGCGAAAATCTAAATGTAAAAGTGAGGAAATTCCTGAAAAAATATAGAATTCGGAATTTCCTGGTGATGTGCAAATTTACACATTGTTTCCAATAAATATCTGCAAAGTTTGACAAAATTCTGTGCAGTGGTTTATGAGGAGTTGCGCTGACAAAAAAAAAACAAAAACAAAACCAAAAAAAAAAACAAAGCAAAAAAAAAACCAGGACTGACTGACTGACGGACGAGCCAAAACATTATACCTCACGCAAATTGTTGCTAGGGGTACATGTATAATAAACAAGTTTCATTCTGTGGTACAGTGAAAATGAAAATATATAGTATTTAATGTGAATTAAATTTCTAGACATAAATAATTAATGATTATTGGCCAAAGGATATATGTAACAGTAAGTGTATGTTTGTGTATGTGGGTATGGAACTATGATTAGTAAGATTAGAATGTGAAATATGTGTGAGACTGTACTGTGAATATGTAACAAATCCTATTTTTTCATGATGATACAACTTGTGGTATTGCACTTCTCCATGTCAAACCTAATACTAGTCATATTACATTATACATCAGTCTATAATATGCAATTGTAATAAGTGTAATCATATTGTAATAATTTGTTCATGCCCCCGAGGGCCCTTGATTGGTGAATAAACATATTCTATTCTATAGGAAGAGAGAGCAATTTCCCCGTGAGAATTCCATATTCTACCTAAAATTAGCTTTTAAAAATTCTCTTGTCTGTTCTCCAGGTGCAGTTCGACACGTTTGAGAAGGTATTTGAGAAAGTTCCCAATGTTCACATTCCTGTGATTATATATTACAGGCTTATCACCCCCCCCCCCCCCCCCCCCCCCCCCCCCGCGCTTAAAAAGCAAGAGGGTATATAGTAATCGTTATGTCCGTCCGTCTGTACAGCTCTCCGTCCGTCTGTCTGTTACGCTTTGGGGGTACCCATCTCTTATCCGCAAATCCTCTTATACCACTCTTATACCACTGAGTGAAATTTACTGAAACTTTCACAGAATCTTAAGTTTATTACATATTACCATTGTGCACATCCTGTTGTACTTTTTGACCCGACACGCATTTTGGGTTTAGCGACAACTGCAAAATATGTACTTTGCCATTATAACCATATGGGAGGCGGGGGTATCATTTAGTGAGCTCATTGGTCACAATACCTCTAGTTTCACTTTCTATTTGGGCGTTTAGGTTACTTTCTTGTCAAAAGTAAAATTATTATTCAATTTATGATGTTTTGACATCCCGCCTGAAAAAAAATCTTTGATCTGTCCTAAGGCTTAATAAATGGTACAGCACAAAGTGCGTAGAATTTTATACCTATTATTGCCCTAACGGATGGTTAGAGAGAGAGAGAGAGAGAGAGAGAGAGAACTCAATATACAAAAGAGTATATAAAAAATATCCGTATTCAACCAGGTTTAAAGTATCCCTACCCTAGCTTTTAAAATTAACTCCCAAATACTCCTACAGACATTATTTTTATATAAAAACATAGCTAGACTGTCAGGCAGGGATACTGAAATCTCGAAAGACTTCCTGTAACAACATATTTATAAAACAGTTACGTTCCTCAAAATGCACATAATTTGTGGTCGAAGTGACACATTTAAAAAAAAATCTCAGAAGTGAATACGGCAGAAATGTCTGTCTTCCAAATAACGGTCATGTCAATTATTTTTGCAAGCCCCCACCCCCGCATAAAAAACTCAAATGCCTAAATATCAATCTTAACAGGGGATGGTCGTTCTCCGTGTGTGTGATAAAGACCATATAGATGTTAATTTGTATTCTGGTTAATTGCTAAATAATTACCGTACATCAAATTAATTGGTTTAGATTTGAGATTAGTACTAAAATAATGAGTTATAAATGACAAATGAATTTTGCGACGCAAACCAACTGCAGACTTTACATGACTTTGTATAGAATGTATATTAGAACTACATGTAGATAGACAATTTACAGTTAAACCTTATGAACAGCAGTTATAATACTATAACCTCCCCATCCCCCACGCCCTCCTTTTCAGCCGCGCAAATACCAAAATACGAACGAACTTCTCTTCCCACTTGTGATATTTTCCCTGACCAAAATCTGATCAGCACGGACTAAATGTATCGACGTGCTAGTCTGTACGGAGTAATGACAGTGTGTTTACCATTGAGGTTTTATGGAGTTTATTTCTTTTTTGTGATGCATATTTCAATAAATGGAATTCAGGGTGCATATCACTTGACTCCTGCACATCTTCGAACCGACGCTGTAAACTTATTACCAGGTAAATGTATGGGTACGTTTACAGCGTTCGAGGCGTTTTCTCGATATGCATCAATTGCATAGGGCCTGCAAATCAAAGACGTTGGTTGTTTTGTTCCATTCAAATGATAATAATTTCAAAATGTGTTTGCGGATTTTACTGCTTTTAATTTCAATTTAATTCTGCATCAATTGGCGCACTGTAAAAATACGTACACGTGCATCTAAATTTATCTTCCAATTTTTTTTTTACTTTTGATTCAAATCAATAATCTTTCAGAAATATTATTATTATGTTGTTCATTGTGGTTTTGTAATGTCTTGATCACCTCATGTGTTCTCATATGCTTTACCATCGGAGATGTGCACAAGTCGATACCCAAGCCAAAAAATCATTCAAGTGTAACGAGCACATTGGGGTATATATCGTTACAATGAGACAAGGTTTCTGAAAGAAATGTGGCGATATACGGCAATAGTTGGTATGAAACAAGTCGTACATAGATGAAAATGTTGCGTTTTTAAGAATTCATGTCAGCTTTAAGCAAGAAATATTGATAACGGCAAATATAAGGAAATGGCGTTATGTCCATCAACGAAATGCCTTTGAATTAACTTGAAAGTATTTGTTTACTGTGTACATTTTATTTACAAATTTCGAAACAAATCTCCTTCATTATTTTGACTTTGCAAAAATCTCCGCTAGGATCCCCATGTGTTTACATGTTGTTTATTCATAGCCCATACCAGCAGCAATATCCTGTGACTATATATATAGCCACCGTTTGAAAAGAAAGTTCATGTCACTTTTTCCTGTTTAAAGATTTGTTTTATCTATTTTCCCTTCACTTTCCGAAATACAATTTTATTTCAAATTATTTTGCGTCTTCTCTAACCGCCTTCGCTGGCAAATAGATGTTACTCATCATGATCCATCTGTCACTTCTTTATCCCATGTTATACTTAATCAATCTTTACTACCTTATTATTGCCCCATCTGAAACTCGGAGCAATCATGCAGATTGATTTTTAAAATCGCATTTTTAAATAGATTTTTTCCTTTTGTTTTTCTGTTTATATTCAAACAAAAAAGATGATCCTGTCTTGTGACCGAACCCTATTCAGAGTTGAATAAGATTTCAAATTTTTCAACAGATTTTTTGTCTATTCTTGATTATGTAATTTTCTAAGATTTTTTTTTACCGAAAAACATTATACTAAGTATTTAAATATATTTTCGCAGTAGTTCTGAAGCAGATGTTGATAATGTACAAATATTTAGACCATTCTATTAAAAGCTCACTTAAACCTACAGCTCAGCTAAAGGTACAGTTACCATTATAGCAAAGTTCTCCTTGATATCCAGGCTTACAGCCTTTGTTACATTCCCCTGTCCTGTGGTTGCAGATTGAATCATTTAGGCAATTCTCACTGCAGTTTTTCTTACAATCCCGACCAAATGTTCCAGAGGAACAACCTGGAATTATAATATATATGTATACCTGAATTTTACGACAGTATTTAAAATTAATTAGGCAAAAAAATGTTCAAAATTAGCTTTTAATGATATTTTTACAACTTTATAACAAATATTTTCCAGTTTTAAAACACATGTACTCTTATCGCAAAACACGCCTATCCACCCGTCTGCACATCCATCTGAGCAAATACCATCAATTGGATTGCAAGGGGAATTGTTTTCACAATGACCAGAACAGAATAATGAACAATCTGGACCAAACTTTCCAACTGTACATGCTGCAAAATGGAACAAATCATATATTTTGATATATATATATATATATATATATATATATATATATATATATATATATATATATATATATATATATATATATATATATATATATATAAAGCACTAAAAATGACCAACGACACGAACAATAAAAATTGTCAAATTTTCGGGACGCCCTGTCCCTTCTTCAGGACAAAGAAAAAAGTTAAAAAGTCATAAGAACAAAGGAAAAAGAAAACAAAAACAACTAGCACTACTACTAAACTACTTAACACTAGATATTTACATACTTAATTACATGTTAAATTGGAAATTTTTAAGAACACTAATAAAGAAAGGGAAAGAAATCCGGACCGCTATGAAATGCGTCCGGTCTATCGGGTATACTCGGGTGAAATGCGATTTACATAATTGAACGAATTAATTATGCTAATTAATTACGACAATCAGTAAATCATACATTGTTTCATTCTCTCAAAATGGAGTAACTTTACTTAATAAAGAATAATGAAAGAAAAATCATATAGTAGGGATATTTAAACATATGAATTGTGATAAATTATAAATTTTGAAATATTTAAGGACTTATTATCGGGAAAAAAATAATTAACAAAGGCGTAAGCAATACAAAGTTATGTGGGTTGTTCGAGAGTTGGTGACGCTAATTAACTGTAGAGTTTACACTAAATTGAGAGAATAATCTTGTTTAGTATGATCAAGAATTGGGTCTAGTTTACGTTCATTCTGGTGAAGTCGTTCAATTTGTTAATAGCATTAGGGCGGAATGACTTCAATCTGTGCATCCAGAACTTTTCTTTGCTTTTCCTCTGAGCATCTATCCATTTTGGGTTATGGTCAATCACCACTACTGTCATGTCCTCCCATTTGTGACCCTCAAGGCTGAAATGTTCTCCAACGGGTTCATTGAGTTTTTTGGTCCTAATGGTCGAACGGTGGTTATTGACTCTCCTGCGGAGATCTCCTGTTTCACCAATATACTGTTTGGAGCAAACTTTGCAACTGATGAGATAAATGCAGTTGTCAGTATGACAGGACAAATTCCCTAGTATTTTGTAGCTGCGGCCTGTAACAGGGCTGTTAAAACTGTCTGTGTCAGTGCTGTGCTTACAAAGAAGACATCTCCTGTCAGAGCAAGTTTTAAAGCCCCCGTTAGGTAATGGGTTGTCCAGTCTGGTTCTTACTACCATGTCCTTTAGATTCCTTGGGCGTCTGTATGCAGCCAATGGGGGTTCCTTAAAGACCTCTGCCATTCGTTTGTTTGAATGGAGAATTGGTAGGTTCTTTTGAAGGATACCGCTAAGATTCTTAAGGACGGGATGGTATGTGGTTACCAGAGGGACCCTGTCGCTATTGTCTTTTTCCTTGTATCGTAATAGGTTTTGCCTGTCATGTTCCGCCATCTCATCAATAGCTGTTTGTACGGTGCGGGCATTGTAGCCTCTTTTGCATAAGTGGGACTTAAGAAGACCACTGGCCTCCCAGATCATACCCTCCTCGTGACTATGGACGTCAAATCTTTGTACACCAATATTCCGCACGATGAGGGTATCGAAGCCTGTAGAGAAGTCTGGGATAGTAGATCCATACAAATTCCTTCTACCGAGTCCCTTGCTAAGCTCCTTGAACATGTTCTCAAGTTCAACAACTTCATGTTTAATGGAAAACATTACCTGCAGGTTAATGGCACTGCTATGGGTACGAAAATGGCACCGTCTTGTGCCAATGTCTTCATGGGCAGACTGGAACGCAACTTGTTACTTCAAGCACCATTTAGGCCCCATAGCTGGTTGCGTTTCATTGACGATATAGAGATGAAGTGGGTGGAAAGTCGCGAGAGCCTCGACGCATTCATTACGTTTGCCAACACCTTTCATCAGTCGATCAAATTTACAGTAGACGTATCTAATTCGAAAAACGTATTCCTAGATACTACATCTACCCTGATTGATGGTGAAATCGAATTCAGTCTCCACACCAAACCCACAGACTCCCACCTATATCTTATGCCTATTAGCTGTCATCCCCCACACACATTTAAGGGAGTGCCTAAGGGTCTAGCCACCAGAATTCGACGCATCTGTTCGTCCCCTGCCTTATATCAGGAGCAAAGTGGTCTTCTTAAGTCCCACTTATGCAAAAGAGGCTACAATGCCCGCACCGTACAGCTATTGATGAGGTGGCGGAACATGACAGGCAAAACCTATTACGCTACAAGGAAAAAGACAATAGCGACAGGGTCCCTCTGGTAACCACATACCATCCCGTCCTTAAGAATCTTAGCGGTATCCTTCAAAAGAACCTACCAATTCTCCATTCAAACAAACGAATGGCAGAGGTCTTTAAGGAACCCCCATTGGCTGCATACAGATGCCCAAGGAATCTAAAGGACATGGTAGTAAGAACCAGACTGGACAACCCGTTACCTAACGGGGCCTTTAAAACTTGCTCTGACAGGAGATGTCTTCTTTGTAAGCACAGCACTGACACAGACAGTTTTAACAGCCCTGTTACAGGCCGCAGCTACAAAATACTAGGGAATTTGTTCTGTCATACTGACAACTGCATTTATCTCATCAGTTGCAAAGTTTGCTCCAAACAGTATATTGGTGAAACAGGAGATCTCCGCAGGAGAGTCAATAACCACCGTTCGACCATTAGGACCAAAAAACTCAATGAACCCGTTGGAGAACATTTCAACCTTGAGGGTCACAAATGGGAGGACATGACAGTAGTGGTGATTGACCATAACCCAAGATGGATAGATGCTCAGAGGAAAAGCAAAGAAAAGTTCTGGATGCACAGATTGAAGTCATTCCGCCCTAATGCTATTAACAAATTGAACGACTTCACCAGAATGAACGTAAACTAGACCCAATTTCTGATCATACTAAATAAGATTATTCTCTCAATTTAGTGTAAACTCTACAGTTAATTAGCGTCACCAACTCTCGAACAACCCACATAACTTTGTATTGCTTACGCCTTTGTTAATTATTTTTTTCCCGATAATAAGTCCTTAAATATTTCAAAATTTATAATTTATCACAATTCGTATGTTTAAGTATCCCTACTATATGATTTTTCTTTCATTATTCTTTATTAAGTAAAGTTACTCCATTTTGAGAGAATGAAACAATGTACGATTTACTGATTGTCGTAATTAATTAGCATAATTAATTCGTTCAATTATGTAAATCGCATTTCACCCCGAGTATACCCGATAGACCGGACGCATTTCATAGCGGTCCGGATTTCTTTCTTTCTTTATTAGTGTTCTTAGAAATTTCCAATTCAACATGTAATTAAGTATGTAAATATCTAGTGTTAAGTAGTTTAGTAGTTGTGCTAGTTGTTTTTGTTTCTTTTTTTCCTTTTTCTTATGACTTTTTAACTTTTTTCTTTGTCCTGAGAAAGGGACAGGGCATGCAAAATTTGACAATTTTTATTGTTCGTGTCGTTGGTCATTTTAGTGCTTTATATAAATTTCCATCCGTGACCTTGTATCTACTTGGTAGATCCGACATATAGGATATACAGTGTTGTTGGTTTATAGTGCTTTATATATATATATATATATATATATATATATATATATATATATATATATATATATATATATATATATATATATATATATATATATATATATATATATATATATATATATATATATATATATATATATATATATATATATATATATAACATGTTATATATATATAACATCAGAGGTGGGATTTTGTAGGTTTGGTTTTTAATATACCGTGTGCTTATGTCTTAAATATATATATATATATATATATATATATAGAGAGAGAGAGAGAGAGAGAGAGAGAGAGAGAGAGCATGAGAATGAGCAACGACACGAACAATAAAAATTGTCAAATTTTCGGGACGCTCTGTCCCTTCCTCGGGACAAAGAAAAAAGTTAAAAAGTCATAAAACTAAGGAAAAAGAGAAACCAAAACAAATAGCACTACTACTAAACACTATGTATTTACAAACTTAGTTACATGTTGAATTGGAAATTTTTAAGAACCAATATTAAAGAAATCCGGACCGCTATAAAATACGTGCGGTCTATCGGGTATACTCGGGTGAAGTGCGATGTACATAATTGAACGAATTAATTATGCTTATTAATTACGACAATCATTAAATCGTACATTGTTATATTCTCTCAAAATGGCGTAACTATACTTGATAAAGAATAATCAAAGGAAAATAATATAGCAGGGATATTTAAACATATGAATTATCATCTATTATAAATTTTGAAATATTTTAGGACTTATTATCGGGAAAAAATAATTAACAAAGGCGTAAGCAATACATAGCTATGCGGGTTGTTCGAATGTTTGTGACGCAAATTAACTGTAGAATTTACACTAAATTGAGAGAATAATCTTGTTTAGTATCATCAGGAATTGGGTCTAGTTTATGTTCATTCTGGTGAAGTCTTTCAGTTTGTTAAGACCATTAGGGCGGAATGACTTCAATCTGTGCATCCAAAACTTTTCTTTGCTTTTTCTCTGAGCGTCTGTCCATCTTTGGTTATGGTCAATCACCACTACTTTGTTGTTTTTTTTTGTTTGAACATATTTTATTGTATAAATACTATACAAATGGTTTGAACACAA